GACCTTGAAATGTCGCGCTCTTCGGGCCCTGTTGGGTCGCTCTTGGGGCTCTCTTCGGGAACTCTCGAGGCCCTCTTGACTTATCAGGGGGGCCTCCTGGGCCGTCTCTGGGCTTTCTTGGGAGCCTCTTCGGCCGTCTTGGAGCGATCTGAAGGGTCTCTGACGCGGTCCGGGACCGTGGGGAGGCGGAACATGGGAGAGCGCAAGAATGGTGAAAAATTAATGATTTTCTGTTTCTGGGGCCCTTTGGAAGGGCCTCTGAAGGCGCTCTTGGGGCGTTGTGGCGGCGTCGTCGGCCGTCCTGAGGCCATCTTCGGCGTGTCTGGGGCCTCTGGGGGCTGTCTTTGGGCGCCCTGGGAGCCCAGAAATCATGTTCCCAGAGAGGCTTCTGGGAGCATGACTTCGAACGAGGCCCTCTTGGGCCTCCTGGAGGCCGTCTTGGGGGCCTCCTGGGCCGGCTTTGGGGCCTCTTGGGCCGTCTTGGGGGTTCCGTGAGCCCCATGGGACGACCCTTTTGGGCCGTCTTGTGCCCTCCTGGGTCTCTCTTGGGCTGTGTTGGGGCTCCTCAAACGCGTCTGGGGCAATGCGTAGACGAAGAAAGGGCATATGCGGAAAATGTACGTTTTACTACGGGGACGGGCTGATGTTTGCCTCTTGAAGGCCCTCTTGGGGCCCTCTTCGGCCATCTTGAAGCCATCTCGGGCCCACTTGGGCCTCGCTGAGGCTGTCCTGGGGCCAAGCCCTGGGAACCCGGAAATCATGCTCCGGGAGAGGCTTCCGGGAACAAGACTTCGAACGGGGCCCTCTTGGGCCTCCCTGAGGCCGTCTTGGGGGCCTCCTGGGCCGGCTTGGGGGGGTCCGTGAACCCCACGGGACGACCCTTTTGGGCCGTCTTGTGCTCTCTTGGGTCTCTCTTGGGCTGTGTTGGGGCTCCGCGGGGGCGTCTGGGGCACTGTGAAGACGAAGCAAGCGAGTTTGCTACAGGAACGGGCTGATTTGTGCCTCTTGAAAACCCTTTTGGGGCCCTCTTCGGCCATCTTGAAGCCATCTCGGGCCCTATGGTGCCTCGCTGAGGCTGTCTTGTGGGCCTCTGGGGCGTCCTGGGAACCCGGAAGTCATGTTCCTGGAGAGGTTTCGGGGAACATGATGTCGAATGAGGCCCGCTAGGGCCTCCCTGAGGGCGTCTTGGGGGCATCCTGGGCCGGCTTCGGGGCCTCTTGGGCCGTCTTGGGGGGCTCCGTTCAAGCCATCTCGGGCGCTCTTGGGGCCCTCTTGGGCCTCGCTGAGACTGTCACGTGGCCCTCTAAGGGGCCCTGGGGGCCCGGAAATCATGTTTCCGGAGAAGCTTCCGGGAACATGAACGGGGCCCTCTTGGGCCTCCGTGAGGCCGTCTTGGAGGCCTCCTGGGCCGTCTCAGGGGGTTCCGTGAGCCCCACAGGCCGACCCTTTGGGCCGTCTGGGGCCCTCTTGGGTCTCTCTTGGGCTGCGTTGGGGCTCCGCGGGGGCGTCTGGGGCAATGCGAAGACGAAGCCAGCGAGTATGCTGAAAATATACGTTTCTCGAGGTCTCGAGGGGAATGGGCAGATGTTTGCCTCTTGAAGGCCCTCTTGGGGCCCTCGTCGGCCATCTTGAAACCATCTCGTGCCCTCTTGGGGCGCTCTTGGGCGTTTTCGGGGCCTCTTCAGGCTTTCTAGACCATCTGCACAGCCCGCGTGGCCTGTCGTGGGCAATTTGGAAGGAAGCGGCCCAGGGCAGTCCCCGGGGGTCTGTGACCCCCCAAAGGTTCGGGGGGGCGGCCATGTGGGATGACGGCACCGATTTTTGCCCCCCCCCCCCCACCCACCCCCCCTCCCGGCCTACTCAGATACGCCTCCGAGGCCTGGGACGCCGAAACCATGTAAAAACACACGGAAAATGAGCCCTGGTACTCCCATGGAGGGTCGAGGCAGCTGTTTTCGGGCCCAGGGCCTGCCCCCCGGGATATATATATATATATATATATATATATATATATATATATATATGTGTGTGTGTATATGTATATAAACTCTGCAATGAGAGCGTGGCACCAAAATCCTCCGACCCGTTGGAGTGTCCTCAGCGTATGAAATGATTACCCCTCCCCCGACCCCTCCCCCCCATACTCTGGTCCGGTCGATTTGGAGGGAGGGGGGTCCGCCAGGACCCCACTGGCACGGTCTCAACCCATTGTGCAGGGCCCCAACTGGCCCATAAGACAATCCGATACGGCCCCCAGTCGCCGAAAACTCCTCCAGGACGGCCACGTGCCCTCCGAACGGCCCAAGACGCCACCCAAACGCCCCCACAGGCCTCCAAGAGCCCTCCCCAGAGGGCCCCGCGAGGCCATATTCACTGATCTTCAATCCGTTAGACCGCTCCCCTCCCATTCTTCTTACCTTGCACAGGCAACCACAGTGCCAAGAGCAGGGTGCAGTGGCACCTCGCTGGGCGGACTGCCTCGCGGCGCAGGGAGGGGGGAGAGAAGCAGGGGGCAGGAAGACAGCACGTGCATGGGGCAAGCAGTGCGAACTTCGCTTCACCTTCGTGCATCAGCGTTGAATGATTCAAGCGCTCTTGCCATTTCGGTTCCCCACCGTTCCACGACGGCCCAAGAGGCTCCCAAGATCTCCCCAGACGGTCCCAGAGGCTTCCAAGAGGGCCCCCACACAGCCCCACAGCGACGGCCTCCCAGAAGCTCCTAGAGGCCCCCCATAGGCCCATAGGCCCCCATGCAACGCCCAAAAGGGCACCAAAAAGGTCCCGAAAGATGCCCAGAAAGCCCTCAGAAACAACGCACCACGACCGCCCGTTTCCCGAAGGGTCGGCGGTATGGCGTAAGCGCACGAATCTTCTTCGGGCGGCGGGCGATCACAGCGTTGCTGACGGGGGATGAGGACGAAGGAGCAAGGAGAAGGAATTAAGGAGCAGGAAGAGGGAGGGGTGAGGCAGGAGGGTGACAGGAGTGAAGAGCAAGATGAGAGATGGAAGAGAGAAGACGAGGAAAACAATACAATTAAAACCACACTCTTTAACCACAGACACGCAATAACGGAATCCATTTTATGCCTCGGAGTATGTTCCTGAAGCCTCAACGGCCCAGGGCCCAACGTCGACTGTAACGTCGCCAAGCATGGGGTAACGGCCAGGCGGGATGCTCTTCCAAGAATACAACCGGCCTCTCTTCCGCATTGCGCATTGCGGGAGGAGTTTGCATTATTGACGGAAGGAGAAATATTGGAGGAGGAATCAACCACGAGGTCGGAGGAAAGACTCTAGAAGGAATAAGGAGGGACGAAGAGAGGCGAGGGAGGAGGATTGATGACAGTCTGGAAGGAAGAGAGGGAGGGAGGCGGCGGGAGGAGGATCGGGCAAGGAGAAGGGAGGGAGAAGGGAATAATGGACGGAAGAATACGAGGCACTGCTCCCTCCTCCATATTGCCTCTCTCCAACCCCTCTCCCTCGTTCCCTCGTTTCCCTCCTCCCCTCCTTCCCCCCATGCGGCCTGAACCCCCTCTGCCCTCCTCCGCTAACTCTCCATCCCTTGCTCTCTCTCATTCCCCCCTCCCTCCCCTCTCATCCCATCTCCGTTCCATCCATTCGCTCGCCCCGTTCCTTTCGCTCGCTCCCTTCTCTCCTGTCCCACATCTCCGCCCATCCATGCTCATCCCCTTGCTCTCACTCCCCCTCACTCCTCCGTAGCCATGTTTAACTCAAGACCTTCAACCGCGAGCGAAACCCATGTTGCGCAAGCCCGGTCGGCATGATGTCGCCCTGGTCCGGAGCAGCAGGTCTCGTTCGCGAAACTTGAGATCATAAAGACGTAGGTGTGTAGAGCTCGAGACCCACTGAGCCGCCGTGCAGCTGACCGCAAGGCTGGGAAGCTGTTGGTCAGGAGACCTACAGACCGAGCCAGCGTCAAGCTCTCCGATGAGTTCGGGCGTACGCAGGCTGATTTCGGCGCGGTCCTCATCGGCCTCGCCATCATTTTCGGTTGCGAGGAGCTGGCCGATCGCACTGCTGCGCTGACGCCCGCCTTGGGGAAAAGCTTGCCGGACGCGTGCCGTCGTCGGCGCAAGCGCTGAGGCGGAATATTGCTCTGCACTCCGACGCCCACAAGGCGCGCACATCGACGGCACTGGTCGAGCAATTGTGACGGCTGCAGAGGCCGAAGCATGGGGCCAGGCTGGAGGCCCGCGCTGAGTCGGTGAGCATCCCCGCTTGCAAGCGGACGCACGGGAGCCGCTTGACTTCCACGGCAGTTGGGAGCCAGTCGCGGCGCACTTCGAGAGCTTGCGGTGCTGGCGCGGCACGGTCGTTTTCTCATCGACGCCCCTGGGCGGGCAGGAAGGCACTGATCATCGAGTCCTCTCCGATGCCTTAGCGGCCCACCAAGAGCTGCCGCGTGCTGCAACGGTCGCAGAGGCCGCTGCCGACGAGGAGCCTGGAGATGCGTGATGCTGAGGTCGCTTCACCATTCAACGGCTCTTCCCAGAAGGCGGCAGCAGAAGGAGCTTGAGATAAGTTGCTTCCTTTGCCAGCTGAATCGCGCATTCCCGAAGTGGAGGCCCAGATCCAGAGCTGGACGCTGGACGGGCCCTTGAGGCGTTTACTCCTGCAGCGAAAGTCTGTGCCCGACACTGGGAGGAGGATCGTGCCCGCCTTATTCGTGATGTCGCAATTTTGCAGACGCTGACGGCCGAACGGGAAGTAATCCCCCCAAGGCTGCCGACCAATTGGGCCAAATTCGGTGCCGTATAAGATGGTTGTGACATCCCGCTTTCACTGTCTTCGATGTGTGTACGGTATTCCCCTCCTCTTCCTAACCGTGGTCGTCGTGCAATCGTGGCGTTCAGACGGGGGGGAAACTCGCTTGTTGTTGAGACCGGTACGTGGGATAGCTTGTTGCTCGTAGCCCTCCCCTCCTCTCTCCTAAGCCCCGTTCCCTCCCCAGGATATCGGCTGCGGCCCCCATTGCGCACCAGCTGATCCATCATCTGCGCCCCCTCGGCCCGCGTGATCTTGTACAGGTCCATGGCCCCACGCGCCTACCGAGGAGAGCGCGCACTGCCGAGGCCAGGGGCGGAACAAGGGAGGGCGAGGGAGGAGACGGATGGGCACGGGGGATGGGAAGCAGGGAGGTGGGGGGAACAAGGAAGGATGAGGGAAAGCCAGGGTGGAGGCAGAGGGGGGGGGAGGATGATGAGGTGGAGGGGTGATGATGAGGAGGGGAGCCGGGGGGGAGGACCGAGCAGGGAGGAGACGGGACGTGGCAGGTGATGGGTTGGAGAAGGGAGGAGGATTGCTCGGGAAATCGTCATGGAAGCGCACCCCCGTGCCGAGTACTCCTAAAATTATCGATCTCGATCGACGCTTCGCGGCCTCTCCACGGAGCACGCCGATATGGCGCCACACCGCTCATCCTGGCATGTAAGACAAGGCGCCCTGGCGGAGACGGGCCCCAAGCCCCAGGCTTTCACCGAGGACCAGTTCTTCATCCCGGCTGTTTTTTGTTGACTTGCCAGCGCTCGGCCGTCAATTCTTCGTGCATGTGTCGGTTTCGTGCAAGACGATCCAGGATGTTCCTCGATGGTCCTCGCCGCACTCGTCCGAGCGATGTCCAATTGACAGCCCTGGGGCCCGTGGAGGGCCCTGGGTGCCTGAAATTCCAGCCTGCGGGCCGCAGCCCCTTCCCCAGACCGCAAAAGAAACAAGCCTCTCACGGCCGCTCCGGGCCGCCTTCGCGGGCTGGCGCGTGCAAGGCTACGACGCTGCAGCCCAGAGGAGGAGGAGGAGGACCAGTGTAAACCCAAGAACACTCAACGTTGTTGGAATACACCCTCCCTCCAAGACCCCTCTTCATAATAGACCCGACAACGGTTCATTTCCATTGATGGATCTGCCTCGTTGGGAGACAACCGTTGGAAGACCCGAAAGCAGGCCAAAACATTGTTCTCGGGATTCCAACGCCACGGATCGACCATATTGTTGCGTCTTGACGATCCTGGATCGTGCCAGAACGCCATTCTTGCGAATCAATGTAACTGTTGCACCCGCAAAACCGTGAATCCGTCCAAAACACAAGTTCTGGTACGTTGATCGTGGGACTCCGTGAAACTCTTGCAAATGTTATGAACGAATGCGCGCGGCGCTGAAGCGAAAACCACATGTTGAAAAGGAACCGCCTCCAATCCGTGAAATTCTTGCAATGTTTGAAAACGGATGCGCGCGGCAGAAAGACGAGAGCCACATGTTGAAAACGGGTGAGATTCAATCCGTGAAACTCTTGCAATGTTTTAAAGCGACTGTGCGCGGCGCTGAAGCGAGGGCCACATTTTGAAAACAGGTGATCTTCCATCCGTGTAACTCTTGCCATTTGTTGCAACGAATGCGCGCGGCGCTAAAAGCGAAAACCACATGTTGAAAACAGACCGCCCTCCATCTGGGAAACTGCTGCCAAAGATTAAGCTCCAGAATCATAAATGATGAGGAAATCTCAGGCGAAACGGGTTTGCGACCGTCTACTCGCATGGAAGGCACGTCAGCCCTGCCAGCCGCGAGGCCCGAGCAGGGCCGCCGCCGCCATCCGCCTCGCCGCGATGGGCTCTGCACGCCACCGCCGCGGCGGTACGACCGCCCGCGCCACGCGCCCCGCAGGGACGACTCGAGCCCCATCACCCGCGCCGCGCGCCACGTGCCACGCGAAGCCAAGGGGACGACCCACGCCCCACGCGCAACGCGCCCCGCCGCTCGTGCAGCGCGCCGTGCGCCCCGCGAATGAGCAGGGAGGAAACTGAAGAGAATGCGAACGACGAGAGGGCATAATGGATGAGGAAAGAGGGAGGGGCAGGGAGGAGGACGGTGAAGGGGCGAGGAAGAAGGAAGAGGATGACGCCTCCTCGCTACACACATGATGGGGCGCCATATCGTGACACTGTTTGTCACTCATGATTTCTGAACCCTGGCCACACTAAGCTTGCAAGGGTTCTAGGATGCTGCGAAATGCGAGACAAGCAGCTGCACCGAGCTTCGCTTCGAGGACGACGAACCTCAAGCGCCAAAGACGACGAACATCGGGCCCCCGATTCGGAAACGATGGGCCAACGAATGGCCGGATCGGTTTGCCACCCCATGCGTTTTGGGGCGCATTGGCTCCCACGGATCCCCCCCCCCCGCGTTGGACCCCTCTCCTCTCCTCTCCAACCGCCAGATTGATATGTCGAACCTCGCGCTTCGCACCCCGCGATGTGCGACTCGCGGTCATACTCGCGCCCATTCGCCACCGCCCTGGGGCCCAGTCCGCGACGCGCGAAGAGCGGTTATGTTCACGCCCACGCGGGTGACCTCCGTCAGAAACTCGTCAACTCGGAACATTGGAGAAGGATCAGAAGTGTATAGAAATTATATGGAAAGCCATGGGGACATCAATGTGATACTTTCTAAGACTTCCACTGGATTCCCAAAAGATTCCGCGGGATATCCCTGGGATTCCTTGGGGAAGCCATAGGGTCCCTTAGGAAACCCATCATAATCATATGGGAAGCCTTAGGACTACTTGAAATATCCATCGGGATCCCACGGACACCGATTGGATTGCTTAGGACATGCTTTAGGAAATCCATCGGAATTCTGAAGACTACAATGATATTAGTATGGGGACCTATAAGATTCCTCGGGACATCCATCAGATTCCTTCGGGAATTCATGGAATCCTCAAGGAACCCATAGCAATCCCAAGCAATTCCGTCGGCCTCCTTGGGGAAATCCATAAGATTCCATAGGACCCCTTTTCGAAACTCAATAAATTCCAATGGGAAGTCGATCGGAATCCAATGGAAATCACTTGGGCCCCATCGGAATCTTAAGGAAGGAACCAAAAGGAACTCAATGGGACCCATCGGGAATCCATCGGAATCCTGAGGAAACCCACGGGATCCTCATGGAAATCGATGGGGATCCTGGGAGAGTATGAAGATGACGATGGTGGAGATGATGAAGACCCCGGTTCCTCGCTCTGACGGCCCTCGGCGAGAGTTGGTTTCTAGAGCCTGCCCCGAAGCCCACAATCCTCGGCGGTTCTCGCTGGGGCCTTCGGTGGAGCCCCCTATGGGACCACGAAACGCAGCCCTGGGTGGGGGAACCGCATGCGGGCTGTGCCACTGGGACCTTCGGTGGAGCTCCCTATGGGGCTACGAAACGCTGCCCTGGGTGGGGGAACCGCATGCGGGCTGTGCCACTGGGACCTTCGGTGGAGCTCCCTATGGGGCCACGAAACGCTGCCCTGGGTGGGGGAACCGCATGCGGGCTGTGCCACTGGGACCTTCGGTGGAGCTCCCTATGGGGCTACGAAACGCTGCCCTGGGTGGGGGAACCGCATGCAGGCTGTGCCACTGGGACCTTCGGTGGAGCTCCCTATGGGGCCACGAAACGCTGCCCTGGGTGGGGGAACCGCATGCGAACTGTGCCACTGGGACCTTCGGTGGAGCTCCCTATGGGGCCACGAAACGCTGCCCTGGGTGGGGGAACCGCATGCGAACACCCCCACTGGGGCCTTCGGTGGAGCTCCCTATGGGGCTACGAAACGCTGCCCTGGGTGGGGGAACCGCATGCGGGCTGTGCCACTGGGACCTTCGGTGGAGCTCCCTGGGGCCACGAAACGCTGCCCTGGGTGGGGGAACCGCATGCGGGACTGGGGACCTTCGGTGGAGCTCCCTATGGGGCACGAAACGCTGCCCTGGGTGGGGGAACCGCAACTGGGGCCTTCGCTCCTTGCCCTGGGTGGGGGAACCGCATGCGAACTCCGGGGCCTTCGGTGGAGCTCCCTATGGGGCCACGAAACGCTGCCCTGGGTGGGGGAACCGCATGCGGGCTGTGCCACTGGGACCTTCGGTGGAGCTCCCTATGGGGCCACGAAGCGCTGCCCTGGGTGGGGGAACCGCATGCGGGCTGTGCCACTGGGACCTTCGGTGGAGCTCCCTGTGGGGCTACGAAGCGCTGCCCTGGGTGGGGGAACCGCATGCGGGCTGTGCCACTGGGACCTTCGGTGGAGCTCCCTATGGGGCTACGAAGCGCTGCCCTGGGTGGGGGAACCGCATGCGGGCTGTGCCACTGAGACCTTCGGTGAAGCTCCCTATGGGGCTACGAGACGTGTGAGGGGTGTGCCGAGAGCAGGGGCACGGAGGGGGAGGAGGGAGGAGGGACGGGGCAGCGGGAGGAGAAGGAGACGCGGTGCACCGTCTCTTCAAAACGAGGACCCAACACCACAGGATGGCTGGGAAAAAAGGAACCCGATGGATTTCCCCCCCAAACCCTATGGATGTCCTAAGGAATACAAGGGACTTCCTAAATAGTCCTGAAGATGTCCTAAGGAACCCGATGAATTTCCTCACGAATCGTATGGATATCCTCAGGAACCTATAGATTTGCAAAGGATACCGATCGATCTCCAAAGAAATTCGATGGATTCCTTTAGGATCGGCTGGATTTCCTGAAGGACCCGATGGATTCCCGAAGGATTCATGTAAATGTCCTAAGGGATCGCATGGATTTCCTAATGAACCCAATCGATTTTCCAAGGGGACCGATGGACTTCCTAAGGAATCCGATGGATGTCATAAAGAATCATATGGATTCGCTCGGGATTCCTATGAATTTCTTCCGGAATCCGATGGATTTCCTGAGGCCGTCAAAACCATTCCAATGGAAGAAAATCCATACATATTCCGCAGGAGCTGCGCAGGAGCTGCGCAGGATTCCTGACGAATTCCACAATCGGAAAGACTCCGAAGGAATTCTATAGGATTCCTTGGGACATCCATGAAATTCCTGTGGACATCAATGGGGATCCATAGGGAATTCATAAGATTCCCTTGGACATCCATAGGGTTCCTGAGGAAATCCATGCTGCCTGTCAACATGCGATGAGAGCAAGTTCGATTCGCAACTTCCCCCGCGAGAAGAAAATCTGCCTTGCCGCCTCTCTTCCCTGACCAAGCCTGCATTGCCTGGGATCATAAACTCTCACTTAAGGAGGGAAATGTAATTACTATCAGGGAAGAGGGGTTACCTCCCCTCCCCTCCGCTCCGCCCCCTCCGGTTCCGATTGCGGCCCAGGGCACATCTTGCAGCTTCTCCTGCACGCCGCGCAGCCCATCCATCAAGCTGGGCGCGTCACTTGCCAGCGCTTCGTTGTCCTGAGCCACAGGAGGCAACTAGGAAGGACAGTCGGCTGAGTCTGGGAGATGCCCCTCCGCGGATGACCACACGCACTGTGCGTATGCAACACGCGCGCGCACGCACGATCGCAATTGCTCGACAATCACAGCTTAATTTTTAATTTCCACGGGGGGGCCGATGGGGAGGACGCATGAGGCAGGAAGGACGCAGGAGACGGGGAGGACGGAGGCAGCAAGGCGGACGGGAGAAACAAAAGGAGAAGGCGAAAGCAAGCAGGGAGGTAGGAAGGATGGACAAGGCGGGGGGGGGGGGGGGGAAGCGCCGCCGCCGGCCGCATCCTCGCGCTCGCCGCCGTTCCCCTCGTGCGCACCGCCTTCCTCCTTTTCCTCGGGCGCCTCTCCGGCGTCCTGGGGCGCGCGTCGGGGCGGCGGATGGAGAGGGCCAATTGCCGTGATGGGGGGGGAAAAGGATTTACCCCCCTCTGCCCCCCCTGGGTCTGGAACACTTCCCAGGCGATGGGTGAGAGCGTCCCGGATGGCCCAAGATGGCGCCAGGACGGCGCTGGGGAACCCGACGGCACGCTGAGGGCCGAAACAGACACGCCCAGAGACGCTCAGACGGATATGGGCGAACAGGCTGGCGGCGACTTGGCAGGCTGAGCCTGGCCAGCGGCTGCCGGCGCTGGATTCGCCAGGCCCGGCGCCCGCGGCAGGCGGCGGCGCCCTAGCGCCGCCCGCCTCGGGTGAGGGCCCCCTGACATGAAGGGGAGAAAGGGAAGAGGGGTATGATGAGGAGGAGGAAGATGACAAGCAAGATATCAACATTAAATTCAAGGTCCGGTCCCGTCGGCAAGCCGAGGGCCGAAACCAATTGCATGCCTTCCCCTGTGGGGGAACTGTTAACACTGTTCCATTTGAATTAACCCCCTTACCCTTTACCTCAGGCGACCAGCAGCCAACCGGGACCAATGAGGACCCTACCCTCCCATCTGTCAAAAATGATACGAAGCACACTTTGGGGCAGACTGTTGGGTCATGCTCGTGGGCCCCGCGAGCACTTTGTATTATTTTTTGAAAAGGGCGACGGGGGGGGTCCTCACATTGCCACTACCCTTCCCCAAAACAATGCAACATGCACTGCGCGGCTACGTTTGGACCTTGCGCGGCCGCCCCGCGATCACTGTCCATGGGTGTTTGACGAAGACCGCGGGGAGGCTGGCATGTTGTTTGCTGTGTGCAAGCCCACCAGACGCCGTGATGGCCTCCCGGCCGCGATTGTGCACTGCCTTTCGACCAGGATGGTGGGAGCCGGAATGTTTCCCCATGCGTGCTCTCTCGTGCGCGGACGCACATGGCACAGTCTGCGCGCCCCCCGGAAGTGGCACACCTGGCGCGGCGGGACCATGCAGCACTCATGGCGCACGTGGAGCACGTGGCGCATCTGGCGCGCGAGGCGTGCCTGGCACGTTTGGGCCCCAGGGGTGCGTGGCGCACCTGGAGCGCCTGACACGCATGGCGCGCCTCGCCCCATCGCGCACATGGGGTCTGCACTGGTTCACAATAGCTGCCCATCCATAGACGACCGCTGCACACGCTGAGGCCCGGGTGTTCCGGAGGGGGAGTGAGCGATACAACTAGCGTGCGTGGAGTCTGTCTTGACCCCTCCCGTTCCCTCGGGGGGGGCGCGAGCGGTGGGAGCGTCCAAAATGGCTCCAAAATGGTTCCCATGAGCCCAAGAGGATCTCCAAAGCGGCCCCAGACCAAGACCAGTCCAAGACGGGTCCAAGTGGCCTCGGGGCCCCCCAACCAGCCAGGCCCCCAAAAGGCAATAATCTATCAAACCCCACGACCAATCCGAGAGGGCTCAAGAGGCCTCAAGATAGTTCCAAGGGGGCCTAATAAGTTCCCGCCCGAGACGTGCCCAAAACGGGCCCACGAGCGCTCAAGAGCACCCCGACAGCGCCCCAAGATGGCCCCACGAGGCGACTTTGGGGGCTTGCTAATTGAAGCTCCCCCGTCGCTGACCGCTAACCCCCCAATAGCGCCTCAACAGAACCCCTAGATGACATCAAGGGGCCCCCAAAATGCCCCAGGAGGCCCCCGAAAGGCTCCCAAGATGCCTATCCAAAGCGCCTGTCGTCGTTCCTCCTAATCCCACTCCCCTTCCCCCACCTCCTCCTCCTCCGCCTCCTCCTCCTCCTCCTATTCTTCTTCATATTCTTATTATTAATATTATAATTCCTCTTCTTAGTATTCGTATTATTATGCTGTTGCTTCTTAGTAGTAGTATTATGTGTGTTCTTAGTGTTCGTCTTCTTCGTCTTATACTTTGATTGCTGTAAGTATTAATACCACTAGTTTTACTACTTTCCATATGATTATCCTGAGTATTATTATTCTTCTGATTCGTATTATTATGCGCCTTATTATGATTATGTTTATTCGTAGTCTTCTTCTTATTATTAGTATCATTCGTATTATTTTTGGTATTATTCTTATTATTATGATTTCTCCTCCTCTTCTTCATCCTCCTCCTCTTCCTCCTCCTCCTCTCAGTAGTATTCCTCTTCCACTGTTTTTGCTGTTATTATGTCTCTGAATATGCATATTCCTATTCGTCTGCATATTGTGGTTGGTATTATCATCATCATCATCATCATCGTCATCATCATCATCATCATCATCATCATCATCATCATCATCATCATCATCATCATCATCATCATCATCATCATCATCATCATCATCATCATCATCATTATTATTACTTTTATTATCATTCGTATTCCTCTTCCTCTCCCTCCTGTTCCTCTTATTCCTCTTCCTCTTCCCGTTTCTCTTCCTCCTCCTCCTCGTCGTCATCCTCCTCTTCCTCCACCTCCGCCTCCGCCTCCGCCTCTTCCTCTTCCTCCTCCTCCCCCTCCTCCGCCTCCTCCGCCTCCGCCTCCTCCGCCTCCGCCTCCTCCGCCTCTTCTCCGCCTCCTCCGCCTCCTCCTCCTCGTCCTCCTCCCTCCCTCCTCCTCTTTCCTCCCCTCCTCCTCCCCTCCTCTTCCTCCTCTCCTCCTCCTCCTCCCCCGCCTCCGTGCTCCTCCGGTTCCGCCTCCTCCTCCTTCGTCCTCCGACCTCCTCATCCGCCTCCTCCTCCTCCTCCTCCCTCCTCCTCATACCTCCTCCTCCTCCTCCTCCTCCTCATGGTCCTCCTTCCTCCTCAGCCATCCCTCCCCCCCCTTCCTCCTCCTCCTCAGCCATTGCCCGACTCGAGGATTTCCAGGTGCCAGGAGATTTCTCGTGTCGCAGGGTGCGGCAAACTTGGCAGTGGCACTGCCGCCCCGAGCAACCAGATGCCCCCGAGGTCTGGCAATGTGGACCTGCACAGCGTGCCACACTGATGATTGTTGAGGAAGGACGAAAGTATGCTACTGGTGTAAGAAGCCTCGGCAGGTGCCCAAGAGTGACGGGCAGGGCGACAGTTCGAAGGACACGCACCAGGATTCCGATGGCGACGCCTCGAATGAGACCACGCCAGGGTTTGCGACGAAACTGGAGATTTTCAGGGCCCGCCTCAGAGATCTCGAACGGCTCGCGCAGGAACCTGGCATGGAGTTCGCATCGGAAGCCACGTCGAAGCTGCAAGAACAGATCGACGGGCTGCTGGCACAAAAAGAAACACAACTACAAGCATGCTACGCGGAAGTGGCCATGCGCCGCAGTCTCCGTGGAGCAGAGAAAGCACAGACAAAGGCAGACGCCCAAGTGGTGAAGCTCCAGCAGCAGCTCGAGGACATCCAGACTCAGCTGCACGCCGCAGAGAACAAGGCCGAGCAGGCGGGCAAGAAGGTCCAGTCCCTCCGCGTCAAGGAGAAGTCGCTTGCCAGGCCCCCACGTCCAAAGGATCGGATTCGGTCCGCGCGCACCTGGAGATCGCCAAGACGTTCCTGGGGGCGGGCGGCGAGGAGCGGGATGCGGAGGTCACCATGCGGTTGGAGGCGGCCCTCGCGCACGCGGCGAAGAAGAAGTCGTTCGCGGCAGAGAAGATGGCGGTGGCGATGGAAGAAGACGGGACAAGCTTCAGCGGCGACTGCCCACGCTACAAGAGGCGCGCTTGTGCAGGCCCCGAGGAGCAGGGTGAGGTCACCCTCCAGCTCAAGGCCAAGGCAAGCCCCCAGGAGATCGCGACAGCCCGCAAGCAGACCGGTGTCAAGGACGATGAAGTACAGAAGCACGGGCCGATGGTGCATACTATTCTTGCTGATGTGGCTGATGGGCACCATTTCGCGATGCGGAAGTCGAGCCTGTCACGACCCTAGCGACACACAAGAGCAGTGTGCAAGTACCAGGGCAGACAATCTGGTGTTCATCACGTGCAATGCGAACACCTACAACCAATTCGAGAAGGTGCTGCACCAGCTGCGCTACCAGGTCCAGGCGTCAGTCGTCCTCGGCCAGGAGCTCCAGCTGGCCCTCAAGAAAGTGGAGTTGCTGTCGGCCAGGCACATCAAAGATGGCTGGAAGGCGGCAGTGGTGCCCAACGCACCTACCAAGGAAGGCACGAGGGCGAAGGTGATGATCGCGGTGCCAAGTCGCACGGGGATAACCTACCTGCCCGACAAGGCTGTCTACAATATGCGAGAGCTGGCGCCCCCAGCGGTCAGGGACAAGGGAGCCCCGACGGCGCGAGCTATGGCAACAGATTGGGTGGAGAGCCCCTTGCGAGACCAGGCGCACATCCTCGGCAGCGGCTCGTGCGAGCCAGGCGGCCAGGATGTGGGCCATATCAAGCCCATCAAGGAGGCAAAGACCCAGAAGTGGGCCCTCGTCCAGCTCTCCACCTTTTTGGCGAGGAGCTAGACACCCCGCGGTCCCACGTCTTCGAGACCATCCTGGAGTGCATGAAGGAGCAGCAGGAGCTGGCAGTGCACCTGGAACACCTCCAGTACTGGCAGCAGGTTTGGGCTAGCGAGGCGGACGAGGCGAGCGAGCTCAGGGAGTCCACCAGGCCCTGGCGGGCATGCGTGCGCAACCTCAGCGAGAAGTCCGCGGGGGCCCTGCACAAGTGGACCAATTTGAAGGCCCCGTGGGAGCCCTGGGTATCACGCAACGCGAGCGTGGCAAAACCCAGACTCGGTGAGCCTCCAGGGACAGTCCCCGTGGGCGAGACGTACCAGCACGTCGCCATGATGATGAGGAGAGTGGTGCTGAATGGGTGCTACGCCGAGGGCAGCATCTGGGCGCGAGGGATCGTGGCAGGATCCGTGTTCGGCCCGCTGAAATTGCCCCTCGTCCCCATCGGCGCCATCGACGACATCTACGTCGCGAACCCGAGGTCAGACATGTGCCTATACTTCGACGACCAAGCGGCGTCGAACCGAGGCGACCTGGCCGCGGTGGCGGCGCACCACACGAAGCCGACCGACGAGATCGTCTTAGCCTTCGAGCAAGCGCTCGTGCAGCAGGTATCGAGAGGCAGGGGCGGCAAGCAGATCGTAGACGCAGTCTCGCATGGCAGAGTGGAGCGGCAGCTTGGCAGCCATTACAAGCAGCTGGGCAGTCAGGGGGTGCGTGACGCCGTGCATTTGGGTGTGACCCAGTCAGCTGCGCGGCGACGTTGCGTCGAAGCCCCGTCCGAAAGGAGCATGAAGGCCAAGGCCAGGAGCTGGAAGGTCCAGAGGGTCAAGGCCGCAGGAGGCGCAGAGGAGAAGGTGGTCAAGCTCGGGATCGCGCCGCCGGAGCTCTACGGCACACGCTTTCAGAGTGCCACGGACACGCTGATCACCATGCTCAGGCAGACGGTGGCGGCAGCCTTCCCTGACCGCTACAAGGGGACGTCGGCCGCGCTGGAGCTGCTGGCGGAGGACGCGGACCCTGCCGTAATCGCCAACGCAGTGCCCATCGTGGAGTGGGCCAGGGCGAGGCAGGAGGTGACGGACATGGCTACGCGCGGCCTCCTGGCAGCCAGCTGGCGCCCGTGGGTCATGCGACCCCACGGGCATCCGAGGCCGAGAGGCCTAGTGAGAGGGCCAGCAGGCGCGTTCGGTGCAACTGTAATTCGCCTTGTTTGGAGCACCCAGAGTCCAGCTACAGTCACTTGCAGGACCGAGGTGCACGATTCGGCACAGATTGATATGTATGCTGTAGCTACTGATTTGCACCGCGCGTATGTATGCAGCACGCGTGATGTGATGCGCAGGAGTGTAGGTGGCAGGCACATACAGCAGAGAGGAGCAAACCCGTTTCCTAGTCTCGAGTCCCCCTGGGCCAGAGGAACCTCCGAGGATCCTAGAGAACCCCTGGATGTTCTGCCAGTCTCGTTCGAGGTCCCGCAGGAGAGCGAACATCCAGGAGCCATCGCAGGATAAGTCTGTACAGATGGATCAATCCTGTACGGTGAGTTTTCCCCCCCTCGGCGTGCGGGGTGGAGCAGATGCCTCGGAGGAGAGACGTGCGTTTTCAGCTGTCGGTCCCCTTCCCCTGCCTCAAAGTCGGCAAGGGGCATACCCGTCAGAGCTGCACGCCATCCATCAGGTGCTGAGGGGCGTGAGGCCGCCCCTCAAAATCTATGCCAGGGCTCACAGCGGTCCCTGGCGAGAATGTTGGTTTCTGGTTTTCGACCTTGGAGGGCTGGGCCCCAGGACCATCCAGATAATAAAACGTAGGGCCAACGCCACTCCAACCCAGCGGCGAGAGCTTGGCGAGAGACTGATCAAAGGCTACCGCTTCGCGGACGAATACGCGAAGAAGGGGCCTAATGTGTGCACACACCCGTGCTGGCAGCGTCAGGCGTATCAGCAGAAGTATACCATGGTAGCAGATGCCCTGGAGTCTGCTGTATGGCTCGGCGCTATGTCGTCCGAAGTCGTCGATACGATTACCGATGTCGAAGCGTGCAGCATCAGTGGAACTGTTCCGACTCAGGCCGCCGAGTCGAATCCTGCTCCTCCTCTGATGCCTCCCCCTCCCCGTTTGGTGGCCCCAGGGACCGTCACCCCCAGGGCCAAAAACCAGACTCAGTGCGGGCCGTCGGGCGCAGAATCTGTTGAATTCAAAGCCCGACAAGCACGCATTCCTAAGGCACAGGGGCGAGGACACCACCCCGTGTATCGCCCCGTTTTTGATTCTGCAAGCGTTGTGCTTTCTACGCTCAGTGTAAGTGGACGAACCGTGTGAAGGTGGGCTACAGGACCGCCCGAGCTCGGACGGCCAAGGGTCGACTGACGCGTTTGTGGGAGTGCCGCCAGCCATCCACTGTGAAGCCCTTGTAAGTCCTAACTTGCACGGCGAAGGCGGCCTGCGTGGTGCTCTCCATTTGCGCAAGTCCTAAGTAGCATAATCCTAGCATAATCCTCCTCCTCCTCCTCCTCCTCCTCCTCCCCCTCCTCCTCCTCCTCCTCCTCCTCCTCCGCCGCCTCCTCCCCTCCTCCCCCTCGCTCGTCCTCCTCCTCCTCCTCCTCCTCCTTACTCCTCTCCTCCTCCTCCTCATCATCATCATCATCATCAGCATCGTCATCATCAATCATCACCACCACCATCATCATCATCATCATCATCAGCAGCATCATCATCATCATCTCCATCATCAGCATCATCATCATCATCATCATCATCATCATCATCATCATCATCATCATCATCATTAGCATCATCATCATCAGCATATGCATCAGCATCAGAATCAGCATCAGCATCACCATCAGCAGCAGCATCATCATATCATCAAAGCGTCATCATCAGCATCATCATCATCAGCATCATCATCACCGTCATCCATCATGCATCAGCAGCATATTCATCATCGCCAGCATCAGCATCATCATCATCATCACCATCATCATCATCCTCACCATCATCATCACCAACCATCACCAATCATCACCTCACCATCATCAGCTCATCCAAATGCTGCTTGGAAATAATCATCATCATCATCATCATCATCTTCATCTTCTGTTCCTCCTCATCCCTCATCCTCATCTCACCACTCCTCCACCTCCCCTCCTCCTCCTCCTTCCTCGTCATCGTCATCGTCATCGTCATCGTCCGTCATCGTCATCATCATCATCATCATCATCATCATCATAATCATCCCCCTTCTCCCCCTTCTCCTCCTCCTCCTCCTCCTCCTCCTCCTCCTCCTCCTCCTCCCCCTCCCCCTCCCCCTCCCCCTCCCCCTCCTCCCCCTCCACAATTACTCAATATGAATACTACTCTCCCTCTTCCCCTGATGACGTCTTAGGAGTGTTCGCCCCCCCCGCGTACTGTTCTTTTACACACAGGTTTCCCCGGAGTTAGGTTTTCGCCTGCGTTTTTTTTTCCTAAATGCTGCTCTCGCTGAGGCGCCGGCCTCATTTTCGGGCCCTGCTCGTTCCGAATCGTGCTCCCGCTGCAGCGCTGGCATCATTTCCGCCGGCGCCCGGGCTACACGCCCGAACCGGCGCCCGGGCCAGCGCTCGGGCCGCCGGGTCCGGAGCCAGCTCCGGCCGCCCCCGGAACATGGAGTTCCGAGGCGGCGCCGAAAAAAAACCATTCTAATACACATGAGAGAAATGCTACAAAATTGGTTACTCCATAATTGAAACAATAGCAGGCAAATTCTGGCGAGCCTGTGTCTGAGGTCCGCGAACTCTGCCTTGCGCGATGGTGCCAGTCGGGTGCGCCTCCTTGACGTTGGCGGTCGACGGCGCGGCCGCGGGCGCGCGCGCGCGTGCCCCACCCCCCACAGCGCAATATTTTGAGCATCGCCCACGGGTGCCGCAGTCTATGCCGCAGTGGGACTTCGGTGATACGGCTGCCAGCACGGACCATCGCGTTCGTTATGCGCGTAACGAGCACGCGCCCGTAGCGCGATCGCCCTAGGCACAGGCCCGCGCCCTAGAGACTTACATGCGTAGTCGATGGCGATACCTGCGCAAACCCGCGCCACGTGTTGCCTACAGAGCACCCGCGCCACCGTATTGTTCGTTACCCGTCGTGGGTTATGGGCCATCTGCGATTGTCCTTGTCGCTGCCCATCTCGTATCCCCCTATCATTGGTTTGGCCCCTCTTATCCTGGCCGCAGCGGTAGTTTCCCCGTCTCGTCCTCGTCCTCCGCATCGTTCCTCCTCCGCATCTTCTTCCGCCCCCTTTTGCCCATGCCCAGGGATTCTCAAGTTTGTGCTCTCTCTGCCCAGGGCGTCGGTAGGCTCGGCGCAAGCAACCGCAAGAGAGGTTTCGTGACGAGTTCGTCCCGTTCTCGCTGCTGCGGTGGATGTGCTCTTTGAGTGCCCCACTCCGTTTGGGGGGCCGCTTGGGGGGCCGATCGGGAAAACATTGTCGCAATATTCATCATAATCATCATAATTATCCCGGTGCGACCCTACCTAGGAGTTGGAGCATTTAGGAAAGCATCATCTACATCTACATTACATCTACACCTGCATCTACATCTACATCAACATCAACAGCGAGACTCACATCTACATCTACATCTCCACCTACATCTACATCTACATCTACAACTCCTAGGTAGGGTCGCTCTGGGATAGCTATGTTGGTGCTTTGCTATGCTGCGCTATGCTATGATATGCTATGCTAGGGTACGCTCGACTGCGCTGTGTTATGCTAGGCTATGCTGTGCTATGCTATGCTATGCTGCGCTATGCTATGCTATGCTATGCTATGCTGCGTTTTGTTATGCTATGCTATGCTATGCTATGCTGCGCTATGCTATGCTAGGCCATGCTATGATATGATATGCTGCACTATGCTATGCTATGCTATGCTATGCTATGCTATGCTATGCTATGCTATGCTATGCTATGCTATGCTGTGCTGTGCTATGCTATGATCTGCTGGCAATGGGCATAGACACAGCGCATGCAAAATGCATCGCGCGCCCTTCTACGATTTTCACACATTTGGAAATTACATGGACATCCCTTGAAACCGGAGGGCTAAATTGTACAATGGGTTTTCAAAATTAGGTTTCCGATTTCACATCGCCGACAAAAAGGCATGCACACAGCCCATGCAACATGCATCGCGCGCGAACTGCGCGCCTTTTTGCACATGTTCTGCGCTTAGAGGACTATGCGTCGGAGCCTGATGACTAAGTTTGCAATTTGTTTTCCAATTGTGTTTTCAGTTTCACATTAACGCAACTGGTGCACGCGCGTTGCATGCAACTTACAAAGCGCGCGACA